TCACAAGAAAAGAAGAAGAAGAAGAAGAAGAAGAAGAAGAAGAAGAAGAAGAAGAAGAAGAAGAAGAAGAAGAAGAAATGAATGTACATAGCGTAATAGTTTAAGTTTTGAGCATTGACGGTATAAAAAATATTTATACCTTCTGATCAGTTCAAACGATAATTGTAGTTTATTCTATTAAGTAGCACTCGCTGGTGAATATCTAAATAAATTATAAATAACCTAAATTAATATATTGAATTACACTAAAAGAAAACCGGTGCATAAAAGCTTTTGCATTCATGCAGTAATAGAGAAGATTATTAAAGAAATTCATTATGTTGTCTATGTATATAACTCAATTCTTATCTACAAAAAGGATAAATTAAAATTGAAGAATGAAATAAATATATTAATCAATGAGTAAAAAAAATTATCATAATTTATGAATTTATTGATATAAAATAACCTCAATCAAATAACAAAAAATATACTATAACACTTTTATTAATAATAATAATAATAATAATAATAATAATAATAATAATAATAATAATAATAATAATAATAATAATAATAATAATAATAATAATAATAATAAGAGTTTATGATAAATTTGGGGCCTTTAAATTTTTGGGGCTAAGGCCAGCAGCGGATCCACGTTTAGTGGCGTGGGCGCTTAAGCACCCATTGTCTTTGGGGTAGGATCTGTGTATTTTATGAGAAATTAATGGAAAACTCAAATACAAGAACAATGAGCACCCACAAACTAAAAGCTGGGTTGGGTGCTTTGGTTTAGAGATTACATTGTAGGCTTTTATTTTGTTTGTTTGAGGGATCGAAACTGGTGTGAGGCGCAAGAGCTTTTTTGTATGTTTTGGAATGGGGAAGACCTTTCCTTGTTTGATATTTTCCATTCTTTTCTATTTTCCGGTTGCCCCTTTTAAGCTATTTTTCCATATTTCTTGTTACCTTTTCCCTTTCTTTCTTTTTTCCCCTTCAAATTCGCTTTTCTTTCTTTTATCTGCTACTATCACTTAAACATATTTCAAATGTGGAGATTAATGAAATACTTTAATTGTCCAAAAATAGTAATCCATTTAATTTTGTTGTAATGTTCGTAATAATATGCTTTTGAGCAAAGATTACTTTTTGCCCGCAGCCAAAAGTATTTATATTCGGTTGCCACAAAAGTGTATAACATTTATGTACTTCTTGTATATAACATACATAAATGTGTGTGTGTGTGTATATATATATATATATATATCCACTTATTATTTTGAGAGCAGTTATGCCGTGTTATTTTTCGTATATTTTTGCAGTGAATTGTCTCATTTTAATTTCAAATAGTGATACGATGCGTCAAGTTAACTTAAGGACAATGGAGCACCCATTGCTTTAAAATCCTGGATCCGCCACTAGCTAAGGCAACGAGTGGCTTATCCTTAGAGCCACCCCTGTGTCACTATTTCCTTTTTGAATTTCTTCTAATGTCTTCTCTTAATCCATTCCGGAACTTGTTTTGCCTCTCCCAACTATACCTCACGGCCAGTCGTCTCATGAGTTACCTCTCCGTTTCTCCCATTTCTGCTTCGTATTGCCTTGTTTATCAGTTCTATATGTGATCGGGTTGGTTGGCTCGGGTTCGGAAAGGATTTGGTAAGGTTTGAGACACTTAGTCTCTTTTGAGGAAGCTTAAGTTGGAAAAGTCAACCAGATGTTGACTTATGTGTTAGAGGGATCGGATGTGAGTTTCGATGGTTCAGATAGTTTCAGGAGGTGATTTGGGACTTAGGAGTGTGATCAGAATGAGTTTTGGAGGTTCGGAGTAGATTTAGGCTTGAATTGGCGAAGTTGGTATTTTGGCGATTTTCGGTGGATAGGTGAGATTTTGATATAGGGGTCGAAATGGAATTCCGAGAGTTGCAGTAGTTCCGTTGTGTTATTTGGGATGCGTGTGTAAAATCTCAGGTCATTCGGACGTGGTTTGGTTGGGTTTTTGATCAAAAGCGGAATTCGAAAGATTTTGGAAAACTTAGGTTTGAATCCGATATGTTTTGGTTGTTTCGATGTTGTTTGAGGTGTTTTGAAGATTGGTATAAGTTTGAATAAGGTTATGGGTTATTTTTGTGCTTTTGGTTGAGGTCTCGGGGGCCGCAGGATAATTTGGATTGTTGACGGAGAGTTTGGAATTTTTGGTGAAGCTGCAGATTTTCTGCTTCTGGTATTTCCGCACCTGCGGTTGGGGACTGCAGGTGCGATGCCGCAGATGCAAGGAAGAAGGCCGCAGAAGCAGAAGAAGGTAAGGGAGGCAGAAACCGCAGAAGCGGTTGGAGAACCGCACCTACGATGGCGCAGGTGCGGATAGTTAATTGCAGATGCGAAAATGAGGACTTAAGTGAGGTCTTGACAACAGAAGCGGTACCACAGAAGCGGGAATTTGGCCGCAGATGCGAAATCCCTAGGCCATAATATATAAATTGTTTCCTTCACGATTTTTGAGTTATTCCACCATTTCTAAGTCGGCTTTGGAGCTTTTTGGATGATTTTGAAGAAGGGTTTCAAGGGAACTTCAGTAATTTAAGGATTTTGGACCTAAAACTCATTCCTATGGTATTATTTCATGGATTAGAGCTATAATTAATGAAATTTAAGAGTTAAAATTGGGGAAACTAGAGCTTGGTATTGGAGACCTAGACTTGAGGATTTGAGGGACCTATTGTGGCCGGATTTTGGTACTTTTGATATGGATGAACTCGTGGGGAGATAATGAACCTATTGATGTGAGTTTTATCGAATTTCGAGACGTGGGCCCAGGGGTCGGGCTTTGTAATTTCGGGATTTATGTTATAAATTAAATATTTTCGCTTGAGCTTCGTTTCCTTAGCATATTTTGACGCCGTGATTCTGATTTTGGATAGATTCGACGTGAGTGGAGGCCGATTTGAGGGCAAAGGCGTCGTAGGCTAGAGTTTGGACCGGTTTGAGGTGAGTAATGATTGTAAATGATGTCCTGAGGGTATGAAACCCCGGATTGCATATCGTTGTGCTATATTGAGATGACGCACACGCTTGATGACGAGCGTGGCGTCATGCACTTTTGGGGATTGTGACTTAGTTCGTCCCGAATGACTATTTTACCGCGTATTTGACTGAAATCTATTTGCTATCATCATGTTTTGGGCGGAATGTCGTATTTGGGCCTCGTGCTAACTATTTGAACCCTTAGGGGATTTTTATTGATATTTCCTCACTGTTTTGACTTTATATTTGAACTCAGTCATGCTATATTTCACTGTTTTCATAACTCAGCCATGTTTACTCTGTTTTAACACTTAAATGATCTTTAAATGATATTTTGGGCTGAGAATCATGTTTTACTATTACCCGAGTGACTTGTGAGGATTCTGACTGAGTAAGGCCGAAGGCCTATATTGTGAGGAAACATTGTTTAAGATTATGAGGCCGAGGGCCTGAGATATGTACGCCACGAGGTAGCTTGTTGATATGAGGCCGAGAGCCTAGTGATGATGCCACGAGATAGCTCGATATTGCGCTTGGGCCGTAAGGGTCCCCTCCAGGAGTCTTCACACCCCCAGTGAGCGCGGGTACCCATTGTGATGTGAGATATAGCCCGAGGGGCTGGTATCGTTCTGAGATATTACCCGAGGGGCGGATTTGTTGACATTGTTCCCAAGGGGCGATCGTTTATGTTATTTATTTTTCCTATTTGCCTGTCATTTTATTGCTTAAATTATTGAAAAAGGCATTTTATGAAGTTTAAACTGAACTCAGTAATTTTACGCATCTTTACTGCTTCACTGTTTTACTGGTTTTTACTGCTTCCTTATATCCTATAATGTGCCTTACGTGTTTTCTTACTTTCAATCTTTATTTATGATTATTACTCACTGAGTTGGAGTATTCACTTTACTCCCTGCACCCGTGTGCAGATTCAGGCGTTGCTGATCCTGCTTGCGAGGGTTGAGAGCTCCCGGCAGAATTCAGAGTTCACGAGGTAGCTGTTCAGCGTCCACAACCCCGTGTTTCTCCCCCTTTATCTCATTTCCTTTCTCTGATTAGTGACTCTGTAGTAGTTTTGTAGACCTTTCTTGTATTTATCCGGATTTGGTAGTTGCTCATGACTAGTGATACCCCAGTATCGGGCTGTGTTGGGTTTATTTTCCGCAACTGTAATGTTCACTGTTCACTTTTGGATTATTTATCATGTTTTAGAATTGATTCTTATTGTTTAATTGCTTAAAACTGAAATGAGAAGTGTCGGTTGGCCTTGTCTTCACGAGAGGCGCCATCATGACCGGGTTCGGGTTTAGGGTCGTGGCAACCTGAATTCCTATACATTGCTTGATCCTTTGCTTAACTATTTTTGTGAGCACGTAATTTTTGCCCATATATGTAATTATTCCTAAAATATATTCAAAATAATTTTTTTTATTGCTCTTATAGAATTTTAAGAAGTTTATTTGTGTGCTTGATTGCATTTTATTTTATTAATAGATCATTTGCCTCATTAGGAATATTTTAAAACCATCAATTTTTTTATTTATTATTTATCTTTGCCTTTTTAGATTTTTTTTCGTAGTTTAAGAACATAATTACATAAATACCTTATTAAAATATAAAAATACTTTAGATTGTTTTGTATGTTAGGTTCAAATTAATAATTAAGTTGGTTAATCTGCAAATTAATTAGCTGTTAGATAATTCATGTAATAGGTTAATTATGCAATTCAAATTCTTAATATTATATTAGTTAATTAGTGGCTAAAATGTAAAAAAGAAAAGAGAAAGGAGAAGGTTTGATTGAGCTCAAAATGGGAACTGGGCCAACACTTACGCCCAGTCTTTGCCAAATCCGCCTCAGCCCATTCCCCTGTCTATCCGACCCACCTAGCTCAGTTCCCAAACGACGCCGTTCAGTCCAGGAGCGACGTCGTTTCCCCTTGCCCTCACCTACTAAAACACACTATCTTCCAATCCCTTATGATTAACAGACCCCTTCCCTCAAAAGGAAAACCCTATCCCCCCATCTCTCACCTCACTCTCACATATATTCATTCTCCTCTACTCACACATACAAATTCCCCCAGACTCTTCTCACACAGGATTTTAACATCACTTTCACTCTCACACACGTAGAACTCACAGTCCAAATAGCTAAAACAAAAGTTTTTGAATTGAAATTGAAGCTCAGATCTGAAATAGGAAAAATATCAAAAAACAAAGAGAGAAAACAAAAACAAAACAGCGTAAAAGAGGGATTTCTGTCGCTGTGGAATTGCAGTTTATTTGCTCTCATATTCTTGGTTCTAACAGGTTAAAATCCTCGCGATTTACTGCTGATTACTGGCCGTGATTGTTGGCTGAGCTTCGCCCCATTCCCTTCCTCCACAGTTTTGTTGAAGTCAGTTATTTTTTCTTTGTCCATCAAGGTACTGTTTTCTCCAATGTAGATATGCTATTTTAAATGAGATTTATGTTGACATTATTAGTGATACTTTATTGTTTAAAGTTCATGTCAAGCTTTCTCGTGTTTAAACCTTTTTAGAATTTAGACTCGCAATGCAATTTTGCCTAAAACAGTCTATGACTCTTCTGTGGCTTATCTATGAACATTGATATTTGTTTGCTCAAATTGATTTCGTTGTTACTGTAGTTGATTCATGTGGTTTGAAGTATATAGAGTTGACTTTAAAGTGGTCAGATCTATTCATCTCATATGCCAAATTACAGGGTTAGCTGAATTATTTTGATGGAATTAAACCTCCATTGCTCATTTCGTTTTAAAACTAGTATGCATTAGATCAAAAAATGGAATTCAGAGCAAGGGACTTCAAAGTTAGTTATTATTGATTGATACAGTGGTTATATATGTGGCTTATCTTGTTTTTGGTTAATACATGAGATTTTATTTTATAAAGTCATGGTAGTGTTTCTGCTTATATGAATTATTATGTTGTCCTGACATATCATGTTAAAAGTATGACTGTAAAATATGGAAACAATAGGAATAGAGTAAATCTGGAATATAGATTGTTGAGGCAATAATCGGGCTACTGAAGTTGTGTATTTGCAAATGAACGCTAAGGTCGAGTTAATTCAGACTGACATGTGATAACTAGGGATTATGATGCATTTTATACTCCTTACATGAGTTTTGATTAGAAATGTGTACAAAATAGTCCCAAAGGCTTACATGTTGTACTTGATTGCAGGGTTTGGTCAACAAGGTGACAATTCGTCAAAACCAGCTCAAAAAGGAGTGAAACATGCACAAGTACCAAGAACAAATCCAAGCACAGTATAACCTGATGCGGTCGCACTCCATTCTGTGCGGTCCGCAAAGAGGAGGTTCAGAGATTTCTCAATTCAGACATTCAAGCAATGCGGCCGCAAAGCATTTCATGCAGACCGCATTGGCTTCATTGCGGCCGCACTCGATTTTGTGCGGTTCACAAAGCTAGAGTTCAGAGAGTTGCTAATTTTGAGAATATTTCCAATGCGGTCCGCGGTCCTTTTTGTGCGGACCGCAATAGAAGCCACCGCGGCCGTGGTGTATTTTGTGCGGCCCGCGGTGGCCAAGTTCTGAGAATAAAAGTTTCAAGCTAAGAGCCTTAGTGCGACCGCACTCGATTTTTTGCGGTTCGCACTAGCCCCGCAGGAGTATTTTTGTCCAGAAAATTTGGCATAGTATAAATAGTTTCTTTTCCCATTTTTAGGTAATCAGTTGGATTGTAGACAGCAGCTGCGCTCGTGAACAATGTTCTATTACTATTTTGAGTAATTTTACAATAGTTTTATCATTGAATCTTCAAGTTTTAGCTAGTAATTAAATATTATGGGTTTTTCTTCATCTATTTCTTTGTTTTTTCTATTATCATGAGTAGCTAGACCCATTAGCTAGGGTTGTGGCTCAACCCTAGTGTGGTTAATTGATGGGTCTTGTATTTTAAGGCTTGAATGTCTATGAGTTTTTGATATTTGGACTAGTTTATTATTTTAATATTGAATTAGTGGTTGCAAACACTAGTTTATGCCTATTTGACTTGGGCTCTTCTTGAGAAAGAGAGCCTAAGTCTAGGAAAATTAGTCTAACAAGGAATTCGGGCGTATTCAAGAGATTGATATCCCCAATTAAAGGATTAAATCTAGAGATAGTAATACCCGACTTGAACCTCAATTGCTTGCACAAATTATCATACCCAATTGATCTTGAGAAAGGCAATTAGGACAAAATCACTCAAACTGCCGAGAGGTATAGAGCGAAAGTATCATGCAATGGTTATATCATAATCCCCAAATATGATAACCTAGCCTTAGACTCGAGAACCCGTAAAGTATCCACCTAGAAGAAAGTTACTTCCCTAGTGCCTTCTTAACTCTTTAGACCTTCAATAGTTTACTCTTAGCTTAACTTAGTTTAATTTAGCATCTTAGTAGTATAAATCTAGAAGTAATATCAAACCAACTACGTTTAGAAGTGCAATTAGGAACAATTACGCAACTCTAACTTAGATAGAAAACTCAATTCCCATTTCTGGCTCCCTGTGGAAATCGATCCCGACCTTCTAGGGTAAAAGCTGCTTCGACCACTCTTGCTACTTTGTAGTAGTGCAGGGTTGCCTCGATCACTTTTTGGCGTCGTTGCTGTGGAGCTAACAGTTTTGGCTATCTATCTAAATAGTTTTGTGTATTGTTCTTCATTCCTTCTGTGTTACTAATTTTTGTGTCACAACTTCAGGTACAAAATGGCAGCAAATTTAAACAACGCACCTCTTGGAGATATTCCTCCGGGGGAGGAGGTACATGGAAATATTGATGATGAGGTCCCTGTAGTACCTCAAGCTCAAAGGAGAGGCCGGCAGGCCAATGATAATATTCCATACCCTCCCCCGCCATCTCCAAGAGTGGCTTCTCGAGTGCTTCCAAACCAAAGCTATGAAAACACGATTGTCCCACCCCGGATTCGGGCGGGCAATTTTCAAATTACCAATATGATGCTGACATTGCTTGAGCAACATGGTCATTTCACAGGCGCTGCCAATCAAAATACTTACAAACATCTTAAGGGTTTCGTGGATACCTGTTGGGGGAGCAAGCAAACTAATGTGTCCGAGGATGCACTTCGGTTGAGATTCTTCCCATTTTCACTTAGAGGGAAGGCATTGGATTGGCTTGAGCGACTTCCCAACCATTCCATCACTACTTGGGATGAGTTGGCGGACAAGTTCATTGCAAAGTTTTTCTCACCGGGGCTTATGGAAACATTGAGAGATAAGATCTTAGCCTTCAAGCAGGAGCCCACCAAACCATTACATGAGATTTCGGAGAGCTATAGAACAATGGTAAAGGAATGCCCCAACAGTGATATGACTGAGGTGATGATCCAACAGACTTTTTACCGGGGTATTAACACAAAAAAACCAGTGCATAGTGAACCAACTTGCTGGGGACAACTTCATGAAGATGTCTTATGATGAGGCTTGTGACATTCTTGACGAGATGGCTGACACTTCCTCCGCTTGGCAAAGTAGAGCCAATGTGCCCTAGGGTGACCCCACGGTCATTCATTTGCACAAAGAGTTACATGATCATGGGCAAGCTATAGCAGAACTAACAACAATAATGAACCAACTCGCAAAGGCACAGTTGCAACAAGTTCAAAATCCTCACCAAGTGAATGCCATGAACGGTGTCAACATGCTAGTGAACAAAAGAAGACAAAGAGGTCAACAGAACCAAGAGAGTTCAGAGCAATTTGACAATGATTGTGGTGGATTCCAAGATAATGATTATGATGGGCAGAATAAAGAGGTGCAATACATGAATAATTATCAAAGCCAAAGGGGAAATTCTTCCAACCAACAACAATGGAGACCCCAAGGAAATTGGGGCAATCAACAACAACAAGGCAATGGTAATTGGAGGAACAACAACCAAAATTCAAATTGGGGCAATCAGAACAATCAGGGTAATTGGAATGGCAACAACAACAACTGGGGTGATAACAACAATCAGGGAGGTTGGAACAATGACAATCAAGGAAATCGGGGGCAAGGCTTTCAAAGGCCCTTAATGTACCTGTCACACCTCCTTTTTACATACCCGAGAGGGTACGAGGGAGTTTTTCCAATTAAAGGACA